CAGCACAGTGGTTAGCACTTCCGCCTAGCACTGGGGTTATCGTTTGAATCCCAGCCACTACCTGCACGGAGTTTGTATGTTCCCCCTGTGCCTGCGTGGGTTTCCTCCGGTTACTCTGGTTTACTCCCACACGCCAAAGACATGCTGGTAGGTTAACTGGCTCCTGTCTAAACTGGCCCTAGTATTTGTATGTATGAATGTGAGTTAGGGACCTTGAGGGCAGGGACTGATGTATATGTATTCTATATATGTACATAAATTGACAGTGCCATAAAGGAGCCCGTAATAAATTAAAAATGAAAATAAATAAACTGCCCATATACTGTTAATTTCTTTTTTCAGTCTGCAGCTAGTCTTTGTTAGAGATATAATGGCTTCCTCCATCCATGCAGAATGGACAAAGTCCCTTGCTGGGCTATTGTATCCTGATATCTACCAATGGCAGCTTTCTGAATACTCAAACAGTGGCTGCATCTGATTAGAGGCAGCTACTGTTTGGCTGCAAAATTCATGTCAGGATCCTTTTACAAAACTCAACTGAATGATTGACTTTTGACAAACAGAGCGTGGCTGGCAGGGCTACCCACTGAGTGCATTTTGGCTGGTTCATCAGGAACTGGCTGAAATTCACTTTCTGTATGGCCAGTTTAATAAGAGACTAGGGTTTCTGAAGCCCAAGAGTGCTCCTTATCCTTGGGAAGGTCTAGTATACTTGAATAACAATAACAGTACAAACAAATGGCAACCACCACAACTTATACTTGGCTTTTGCAGCAAGGAGCAAATTTCAAAAACAACATACAAAATCTCCCAGCTCACTTACCAGCCAGCCTGGTAACTAAATTTACCCTGTCTAAGGCCCCTTTCATATGAGCAGACCCAATAGGTCCATCCATAGACTTCTATGGGCATCCGATCTGATCCTGTATAACAGACAGATTGGATGACAATCGGGTGGTCCCGGACAGTCGGTCTGTTTCCATCCGATCGTTCCATTGAAATCAGCGGGCAGTGTATGTGTCCACTCTGCAGCAGAAGAGAGGACAGAGACCTTTCATCCGCCTGCTCAGCGGGGAGATCCCCTGTTGAGCAGGTGGATCACCCTGATGAATCCGCTTCATCTGAAAGGAGCCTTACAGTTCACGTTAACTGCTTCTGCGCCACCCTATAGCAGAAATACTTCTCTACAGGGCAGATGGGTGTGCAAAATCCCATACATACACGTGCTTTTGCAGTTTTGAGTAGGGGGCGCGCGCGCTGCCAATTCGCAGCCTCGGCTGTCAATCACTGGGTCCCGGCTGGTGATTCCGTGCACCTGGAAATCTGAGGATTTCATTTGGGTGCAGCGTTGCATAACCGCACAATTGTCACAATTGTCAGTCAAAGTAGCGCAGCGCCGTATCGCAAAAAAATGGCCTGATCAGGAAGGGGGGTAAATCCTCTGGGGGTCAAGGGGTTTTGCTTGCACACATTTTCAAATACATGTGTAAGCTGAATGAGGAAAGAAAAAACGGGCTCTGAGGAAGAGGCAAGTCCTCGAAACGCGTCAGCCTTTTGGATGTCTATACTCCCTATTGCGGACTGTTACTCAGCGCGGTGTTGATCCAGCTGTTCTTTATGATGTGCCTTGACTATATTGTCGTTTGTGAGTACAACACCTACTTTATTTTTTATTAAATATTTTTTATGGTGATACACTAGGCCTGTGTGCCCTCTCTTTGTTCTTTCCTCATTCAGTATATTTGGATTCCCCCGGTCTATTGGGGCAGCAAGGTGTGCATGTTCCAGGACATTCTTAATGTGGTTGTAGCCTGCATCGAGTCCATCCCCAAGCGCAGGAGCATTTGTGTTTGCTGGTTACATGTGTAAGCTGCAGAGGCCACGTCATGGCACCTCAGTGTACTGCACTCCAATAACTATAATTCTGAGGTCCTCCTGAGTTGGAGCGCACATATAATAATGGATAGAATGATATATAAGAATGCCCCTAGTCAGCACATGAACTAATTGACTCTTTGTGCCGCTTCCCCCTCTCCCAGCCTGAGTGTTGCTGTATTACAAGAAGCTGATACGACGTCACATTCTGCTACTGACAATTTAAAAAATACTCTTAGATTGTAAGCTCCACGAGCTGGGCCCTCCTATTCCTTCTGTACTGAAATGTATTGTAGTTGTACGGTCTCCCTTGTATTGTACAGCGCTGCGCAAACTGTTGCCGCTATATAAATCCTGTATAATAATACATTTAATGACATATTAATAAAAACAGAGCTGCATTTGTTTGTGTCTTGTATATCTGAGTGGAGTTTAGCTTAAAAATGTAATTCCAGTGTGTATTTTATATTTCTCAATTTTAGCAGCTGCTTGACAAAGATACGACTAGTATTAAGTAAACATGTAACGCAATTCTGTGGTTAGATAATGAAGCTTATGGTACATGAAGAAAAGAAAGAAAGTAACAGTAGCTGATGTGTATCATAGTTTTATCTGTACTATTCTGGATCCTTTTTAAGCTATGCAAAAATATCTTGTGTATTTATTAATAGTATAGGATACGGCATGATATAGGTCAGGAATTCTATATTCTCACCAGATCTCCCCCCCCCCCCCCCCCATAGCATCAAAGGCAGACTAAACATAACCAGGAAAGATGGCACCAAAATAGGCTCATTAGCCAAGACAAACAAAACAAGGAAAAAACAGCAGAGATAACGATCTGCCAGTAGACAAGAGGTCATATCCTGGTTCAGGCTAGTTAACTGCTCCTCTCTAATAATTGCATGCAATTGGAACATGGTCAACAACCAGAAAGTAAAAGTTTCACTAATTAATAGAATGATTGCTGCATGAAAGACATCTCACGGAAGCTTTGATATATATAGCTGCGCTATAGCTGGAGGTTTGTGGTTGCTGGGTTTGGAATATTGCAGGTATTTCTAAATAGTCTCACTTTTCTACCTTGAACCCTTGATAGAAGATAAAGGTACAAATGCTACAGGACAATGCTTTTTATGCTGCTGTTTACCCTTAAAGTAAACCTGTCACAGCGTAGACTGCCATCACTGGGTGATAGGTGGGCATCTGCCCTGGAAGCGCTCAAACCTGAGGGATGTGCAGTAAGCAAATCTCTACTCAGAGGTTAAACATGTCTATTTCATGCACCCCACAATACAATGTAGGTGCGCCTCGAAATTATGCTGCAAACTGGATGACATTAGAGGATGTGGAGATAAGCCACAGATTCTAGTAGCTGGATTACATTGGGGTCATTTATATCTGTCTAGATATCACATTAAGTAAAAATCCCAGCTACTCAAGAAACTTTGGAAGATTCTGTCATTTTGTATACCGGATTACTGGTGCACCTACATGAGATGCTGAGCTTCCATGATTGGAAGAACTTAAATCTGATGTGAAAGGGTAGGCCAGGGACAGTAGGCTTGTAAGAAAAGGGCTTTGATGATGCTGGACATTATCCAGCTAGGAAATGAGGGGGACTTGCGTCAGCATCTAATGCACACTGGCAGAAGCTCACATTGTATAGTGAACGCAGAGTAGGTAGTTTCAGTACAGCTGTACAAATGTGCAAAACAGAAGGTAGGGCTGGAGTTCACTTTTCTTTTCTTTTTTTTAATCCAAACAACTTTTATTGTCCAGATAATAGAGAAAATGTAACAGTACTTACGGAATCCACAATGACATTACTGCAATAGCAGGATTACACATAATTAGAACAACATGGATACGCAGATCCCAGAATAAACAGAATAACAGAAATGGTAATCAAACAAAACAGACCACAAGGATCCAAAACTTTCTTGACAATATCTTGCTTTTTCCTTTTTACGTCTTATTCTTTCCCGACCAGATGTAAAAAGAAATGGGGCGTAGGTTCCACCCACTCCCGCTACTGTTTGTATTGAGGATAAGATATTTTTGACGGTTGTCCCTCTCTTATTATACCCTCCATATTTGCTTCCCTTCCTCCCCCCCCCCCTTTTTTTTTTTTCTCTCTCTTTCTTTCTTTCCCTTCCTCTTTCTTTCCCTTTTTTTTTCTTGCCTTCTCTTTTCTTTTCTTTTCATATGCTTACACACGTTTCGGACAATTTTTCCAATAGAACACTGAGTAGGTGGTCAGCATCACCTCCCGCAATTCGTCAGCGGTTCCCACGACAATTACTCCTACATTCGCACAATTCCATCATCGTATTCTGTAGTATTGACTTCTACTTAGGCATCGTATTTGCTCGTCTCCCCCCTACAGATTTTTTACCGCAAGACAATATGGTAGGAGGCCATACGTCTCTTTCTTTTTAGCACTTGACAAGCATACCTAAATATTACAGGCACAACCCTGTCATGGCCTAGTTCATCCACACTGTTTGGTTTTGCGTTGGACCTCATTTGCCTTTGTATGATACATGCTTTGCTGTATGTCCTATGTACACTTCATCTGTACATTTTCGTGTGATAATTTGTATCTTGTGTTCAATAAACTTTGTTTTTTTTTGGAAAAAAAAAAAAAAAAAAAGAAATGGGGCTAAGAAACAGGCGTTCACTTTTAACCTAATAGTAATCTCCAGGCAACTATGAAAAACTAATACTGCTGTTAGGTGTTCATTAAAAAAATCATTAAAGCCCATTTCCAGGAAAAAACAAATTGTTTTCTAATGCATTAGGTCTATGCCTGCACTGCACTGGTCAATTACTCGTTTGGTCCAGGGGTGAGTAGAACATATACTCACCCGATCCTTTGTTCCACTGGAAAGTGGCACTCCCCCATGGTCCAGAGGTGGACTGTTCCTGGTCTGTGGAGCCTGCTCTGGACTTGATGTCAGGAACAGTCCACAACTCAAGACTGCTGGAGCACAGTGGTGCCGGAAGGGCCTTGTGCTGTGAGGATCGAAGGACAAGGTAAGTAAATCTCCTTTCTCCTCTCCCTTAGACTTAAATGATCCGTTACCCCATGCAGTGCAGGCACAGCCCTACTGCATGGGAAAACTTTTTTTTTTTTTTGTCTGGAAATGAGCTTTATTTGTATTTTAAATGCATCTAGTGCAAGCACCTAAATTTGACTTGGTATCAGCCTATTGTAACCTCCCGTACAGTGACTCCTATCTCTGATAGAGATTGGTAAAGATCCATAAAAGTATGCTGAATGCACATGTGCTGACAGGGAGCGTGCTGACAAGTGGAGAAAGCAGGCAGATTACTTAATTTGTGTTCTGCTGCAACTGCAGCTGAGAAAGAAAATAGGTCACCAACCTGGCTATGCTGCTTAGCATTACAGTGTTAATCTCAGGACTGAATGAACAGTTACAGATAAAAACAGATACAACTAAAATAGATTCCGCAATTGTCATTCATTTGCGGATTTGCAGTTTTCTTGGGATACAGCTTTAAAACAATATCATGAAATGCGCTTGACTCATGGAATCTGTTTATCTACAAACTGCAAAGCTGTTCATTGGATAAAAGGTTTATTTTGTCACAACTACAATTTGTTTTTTTCAGTTATTTCTATTTTTGTCTTTTCTGGATATTGATTGTCCTTGTATTCCAGCATCACGAAGGAAAGTATTGTGGATGTGGAGGGAGTTGTGCGGAAAGTTGACCAGAAGATTGAGAGCTGCACTCAGCAAGACGTGGAGCTCCATGTTGAGAGAGTAAGTGCAGCTCATTTGTGCGACTACTAGCTGCTGATGTATTTCCATAAAGCTTGTTATACATGGATCAAAATTTAGCCATTTCAGCAGGGACCGGCTGAATTTCGATCCATGTATGGGCACTCTGGTTGTAGAGAAGTCGATCTACCTGTCAACTTCTGTACAACTAGCCTGTCAGATAAATTCCGCTTGATCAGCACTGGCGGCTATAACCAGCAGTTCTGATCAGTGTATTCTGACAGCAGGGATGTGTCCCCGCTATCAGAACACAATAGCTTAGCGGGAGTGATCCTCCCATCCACCTCGAATGTGTGGATGGGGTAATTGGGTCTTTTATTTTTTTTTGGTTTTTGTTTTGTTTTTTTTTTTTGTTGAATGAAAAAAACTAACCCATCTATGGCGAGGCCATACATGGTTCGAACTCCGAACGATTTTTCGTCTGAAAATCGGAAACATCGTTCGCTCGGTAATCCGATGGAGCCATCATTGATTTTGAACATCGGCTGACCAAGTCATAAAGTTCACCCCATATAACATGCAAAACTTCTTTTCCTTCCAGGTCACGGCTCATGCGCATATTCTTTTCGGGAAAACGATCGTACGGTTTGACCATCATTGAGTCGAAAATCTGTAGTTTTTCACACATTTTCCAACATGCCCGATCACCGAAAAGGGGAGGAACCACGAAAATCGGCCAGTGCCATTGACCCACTAACAGAGAGAAAATCAGCCAATTATTCTTAGGTCCAATTTTGGGATGAAAAAAATCGGTTGATTTTCGACCCATGTATGGCCGGCCTTAGTGAATACTTTATCTTGGAAAAATTCCCTTTCCCCCACCTAGTACAACATTATAAGCTCTGAGGAAGGTTATCCTCTGCAGTGCAATGCATTTCTGTAATGGAATGATCACATTTAGATCCCCCCCCCCCGACCCCCCCCAAAGATTTTTTGACTAGAGCCCCAGTTTACAAAAATACTTAATAAAGGATCTACAGATATTTCCTGTGCGATATCGCCTTACAAGTGACTCTGTGTTTTGGTTGCATTTAAGGCCAGGTGTTTACAAATCTCTGTGTGCCACACCATTCTCTGTTTCTGATGAGGTTATATTTGTCAAATTTCCAGATCTATGTGATCAGCGCAGCTGAACCACGCCTGCCCCTGCAACTGGAAGATGCCATTCGGCCTGAAGGAGAGGGGGGAAGAGGTGAGAGGGTCCGGGTTTATTTCAAGACACACTGCAACAAATGTATTACTTTGTCAGCCCTAAAGTCGCACTGCGACGGTACGAAAGCTGACCATGGTCACTTAGTTATGCATTTACAATGAAAATCTATCTGATCTTCACTAATAAATCTATCTTAGAACCTGCAAATCTGTTGCAGCTGGTTGCCTAGGAATTCAGGTGAACGGGTCACAAATTTCTCTCTCTCTCTTTCTCTGTTGCAGCCTGCTTTTTGCCTTTGTTGCAAATTTGCTTGATAAAATCCCTCAATATATACACAATATATACACTATTACAGATTGAGGTCTCTCAGTCAGGACTTTCTATATACAAGGTTTCTACAGAAACATGCATACAGTTCCATATCACGTTTCAGTTCTGTGGTTTCCCCTGTGCAGGTGCCGTGCAGGTTCCCCTAGGCATCCATTGCTGAGCCTTCTGCAAATTATAGTTGCCTGACTGCAATGCTGATCCCTGGCTGCTGTACTTGGAGTCACTGATCAGAGAAAAGCTTGTACATTAACGTTCTCTGCACTGCATGGTTATTCTGGGGTAATGCTGGCAAAGGAACGTGACAGCCACATGACAAGCGTATTCTGTAGGTGGTCAGCAGTGGCAGCCTGGGCATTCCTGTCATGACAGGTTTTCTTTATTGTGCCAGAGTTGTCATGATGCACTGTCCTATCTATTCTCCACAAGCCATGTGCCAGAGTCATGATTCTTTTTGTCTACTGACAATAGATTATCAACAGCTGATCATCTGTGTCTGTCTGCCTGTCCAGGCATGGGTCTTTATCTGTACAATGCACTATATAACTCTTCTTCTCTCTTCCTTTTTTTTTTTCTTTTCCTCCCCTCTCTCTTTCTCTCTCCCTTCCTCCCCTCTCTCTTTCTCTCTCCCTTCCTCCCCTCTCTCTTTCTCTCTCCCTTCCTCCCCTCTCTCTTTCTCTCTCCCTTCCTCCCCTCTCTCTTTCTCTCTCCCTTCCTCCCCTCTCTCTTTCTCTCTCCCTTCCTCCCTCTCTCTTTCTCTCTCCCTTCCTCTCCTCTCTCTTTCTCTCTCCCTCCCCTCTCTCTTTCTCTCTCCCTCCCCTCTCTCTTTCTCCTCTCCCTCCCCTCTCTCTTTCTCTCTCCCTCCCTCCCCTCTCTCTTTCTCTCTCCCTCCCCTCTCTCTTTCTCTCTCCCCCCCTCCCCTCTCTCTTCTTTCTCTCTCCCTCCCCTCCCTCTCTCTTTCTCTCTCTCCCTCCCCTCCCCTCTCTCTTTCTCTCTCCCTTCCTCTCTTTCCTCTCCCTTCTCTCTTTCTCTCTCCCTCCCCTCCCCTCTCTCTTTCTCTCTCCCTCCCCTGCCCCTCTCTCTTTCTCTCTCCCTCCCCTCCCCTCTCTCTTTCTCTCTCCCTCCCCTCCCCTCTCTCTTTCTCTCTCCCTCCCCTCCCCTCTCTCTTTCTCTCTCCTCCCTCCCCTCTCTCTTTCTCTCTCCCTTCCCCTCTCTCTTTCTCTCTCTCCTTCCCTCCCTCTCTCTCTTCTCTCTCTCCCTCCCCTCCCCCTCTCTCTTTCTCTCTCCCTCCCCTCCCCTCTCTCTTTCTCTCTCCCTCCCCTCCCCTCTCTCTTTCTCTCTCCCTCCCCTCCCCTCTCTCTTTCTCTCTCCCTTCCTCCCCTCTCTCTTTCTCTCTCCCTCCCCTCCCCTCTCTCTTCCTCTCTCCTCCCCTCCCCTCTCTCTTTCTCTCTCCCTCCCCTCCCCTTTCTCTTTCTCTCTCTCCTTTCCTCCCCTCTCTCTTCCTCTCTCCCTCCCCTCCCCTCTCTCTTTCTCTCTCCCTCCCCTCCCCTCTCTCTTTCTCTCTCCCTTCCTCCCCTCTCTCTTTCTCTCTCCCTTCCTCCCCTCTCTCTTTCTCTCTCCCTTCCTCCCCTCCTCTCTCTCCCTTTCTCCTCTTTCTCCCTTACCCCTCCCTTTCTCTTCCCTCTCTCCCTTCTTTCTTTCTCCCTCCTCTCCCCCTCTCTCCCTTCTCCCCCCCCCTCCTTTCTTTCCCCTCCTCTGCCTCCCTTTCTCACTCTCTGTCCCTCTTGCCACCCACTCACTCTCTCTTCTCCCTCTCTCTTACCGTCCACATTCTCATTCACACTGGCAGCTAGGGGGGGGGGGGGGGGGGGGCAGTAAAACCCAGGAATTGTGCTACATTTTTACCGCCCTTTAACTGCTACCCCCTTTTAACTACAGATGTAGTGACCAGGGGTGTACACATGCCACCAGTGTGATGCCTTGCTTCACAGCAGGAATTATACCTCCCGTTACTTTTGACCCACCAAACGCAACCCATTCAAGCGAATTGGGTTGCTCTGCAAGAGTACTGCAGTTGCATGCATTGCATGCGGTTGTGGCTAGTGTAGGGTTCAAAGGGGTTAAAGCAGGCACTGAGGAAGCAAGCTGCTCTCTGAAGAACGATCCGAATGCGGATTGCACTTCCAAGACTGAAGCTGGTGTGAGCGAGCGCTGCCTCAACATTTCATCTTCGTTTTTTTTTCTATCCATGCTCTCTCCTTTCTTCTACATATATATTTATATCTTTATATCTTTTTTTTTTCTTGAATATATATTGTGTCTTCAGACTTCTGGTAAAAGAGGATATAGTAAAATCATTGTTACATGTGCATTGTATTATCTTGGTAAGCATCTTCCCAGCACATGTTACTAATTCTGAGTCAAACGATGGGGACCTGTCATGAGCCCCCAGGGATGGACTCTTGTGTAGCCCATCCACGTCATCACAGTGAAGGGAAGTCATTACGATGCATAGCTTCACAGTCTATGCATCTCCTGTTTATGTTGATATTTCCACAAAGCAGAGAATAGTTTTGTTCCTCTCAAGACATCCCGCTTATGTGTATAGATATCTCTGACTTCTCTGAATCTGCTTTACTTTCCTATTTATGTGCTCGGATGATATTTTTAGACCTAGTAAAGCTATGTAGGAGGCCGGTTTATGTTTACCCAGATTGGTCAATACTAAAATTGTACACAGGCCCGGGGATTGAATAAAGGAATGCAACGCCTTATACTGGTCCTACCAGACTGCTAATGCATTCCCCTATTTTTGTATCTGTAAAGCTGGATCCTAGAGAATGGCCTAGCTCCTACCTGAAGGTTTCAATACAATGGTGTCCTGTTCATAATTCCAAATCTGGGTAACAGTTCCTGCGGGCGCCGTAGTGGTGGCAACACAGTGGAATGGCAGTGATTCTGCCACATACGGTGCCAACCAAAGTTAAAGTGTAGGCAAAACCTGGTGACCCCTGCTCTCCTGTGACATCGGCAATTCCCCTTCTGACCATAGGGGCTGACTGACAGCATAGTATATTCCTTGGCTATGTCTGTTAAATGTTTTGCAAAGCAAATTTCCTCCCAGTTTCATTTGACCACATTTCCTTGCTAACCTGAGCCCCTGTGGCAATCTTTCCTCCTAGGCTGCATCTTTTGAAACAGACCAGCAGGATTGTGTAACCTGATTTTGGAAAATTATTTTATGGTACTTTCACAATACATTTCTGACTTTAAGGCATACAGTGCCTTGCAAAAGTATTCTCCCCCACTTGTTTTTCTTTCTGTTTTCTTCCATTACAACTTGAAATTAAAATATACAGTATGTTTTAGGGGTTTTGTAACGTGATTAACACAACATGCCTACAACTTTAAAGGTGCAAAAAGAAATACAGAGTGTGCATAAGTACTCACCTCCTTTGCCATGAAACACCTAAATTTGATGTGGTCAAACTAGTTAACTTCAGGAGCCCCACCTGTGTGTAATCAAAATGTCACATTATCTGTGAGATGATGTCATTATAAATACAATACACCTATCTTCAATGCCATCACACAACATGAAGACCAAGGAGCTCTCCAAAAAAGGTCAAAGTTGTGGAAAAGTATAGATCAGGTTTGGGTTGTAAAAATAAAAAATATCCCAAACTTTGAACATTCCACCAAGCATCATTAAAATAGTTTCAGAGCCTCACGATAAATGCTTAAGGGTCCCGCACTCAGGCTGTCAAGCTCCGATGAGTTGGACGCTGCTGACTAGTGAGGGTGCAGGCTGAGGAAAGGTCCATCCAGACCCAAAGCATGCTGCAGAAATAGGAAGAGATAGCCCTGCCACCACACACCTCACCTGGCCAGAGTGGTTAGCAGTCTCAGCTCAGCGCCTAAGGCCTGGTCTGGATGAATTGAGCTGAGGCTGCTTTTACTTGCTAACCACTTGGGCCGGGCGGGGTGTGCAGCAGCCGGGCTATCTCTTCCTATTTCTGTAGTTGCAAAGCCTGAAGTATTTTTACCTTCCTTCTATGCATGAAGGTAAAAAAAACCTTCTGTATACATTTCCCACTGAATACCTGGGCCCGATCCAG